TTTTTTGGACATTGCACCTCGTAGTTCTCACAGTCTTCTTCATCACCGCCTCCAAGGCAGTTCCTGTTCCCATCACACACAAAACGGAAAGGAATACAATTGCCCTCTGGGCATTGGAAAGCTGTCTTAGGAGGACACTTGAAATCCTGACAGTCGACTTCATCACTTCCGTCTCCGCAGTCATCGAATCCGTTGCACACTTGGTAGATGGTGATGCAGATTCCCGAAGCACATTTGAAGGGCCGATTATCTGGGCACGTGAAGTTGCCGCAGTTGACTTCGTCACTTCCGTCAGCACACTGCACGAAGCCGTCACACCGATGATAGGGACGTCGGCACTCCCCTGAGTCGCAGTGGAATGGGCGAATGGCAGGACACGTAAATGTATTGCACTTGGCTTCATCACTGTCGTCTCGACAATCTGGATATCCATCACATCGGCTCCACCTGTAGATACACTCACCAGACCCACAGTTAACACTATCACTATAGCAATTTTGGTCCTTGCAGTTGATTTCATCACTTCCATCTTCGCAGTCAATCCGTCCATCACAAACATCATATTCATACAAACATTCCCCTGATCCACATTGAAAAGGCCGATTCTCTGGACACGTGAAACTTTGACAATCAGTCTCGTCACTTCCATCAATACAGTCTATCCTTCCGTTGCACCTTGAGCCAATCCACAAACACTCACCTGAACTGCAACGGAAGTCGTCACTATTCGGACAGGGACCAGTTATATCGCAATTATTCTCATCACTTCCATCTTTACAGTCTCTGTAGTCGTCACATTCATAATCATAATCGTACAAACATTCTCCTGAATCACATTTGTAGGATCGATCTTCGGGACACTGGAAGGAGTCACAGCTCGCTTCGTCACTGCCGTCAGCACAGGACTCCCTGCCATCGCACTGAGGATCGAAATAAAAGTCTAAACATTGTCCAGCTGCGCACCTGAAGTCTCTGTGAGGAGGACATGGGATGTCTGGGCACCTACTCTCATCACTGCGGTCCTTGCAGTCGAAATTTCCATTACACGCTTGCCAGAAAGAAATGCATTCTCCTGACGAACAAAAAAGTGGCTTCGACGCGGGGCACGAGGCAGATGTGCAAGACGCTTCGTCACTTCCGTCTCGACAGTCTTCCCGGCCGTTGCACACCGCGTCCGTATCTAAACATTCCCCAGAAGTGCAATGAAAGCTGTCTTCAGGGCATTCAAAGAACTGGCAGCTGCTTTCATCAGAACCATCCTCACAGTCATCCACTCCGTCGCAGCGCAGTCCAGGGTTTATACATTCTCCAGAATCGCAAGTGAAACAGTCAGACGTTACACAGACTTTAGGGTCTTCATCAGAGCCATCAGCACAGTCATTATATCCATCACACACACTAAAATCATAAATGCATCTGCCATCATTACAGGGAAATGGACGAGACGGTGGGCATGGATCTCCGTTGGGCGGAACACAGTGCTCGTCTGAACCGTCTTTGCAGTCTTGCCTTCCATCACACTCAATATATGTACTTATACATTCTCCTGACAAACATTTAAAGTTTAAGCACTGACAAGAAAGCTCATCCTCTCCACTCAGACAGTCTAGATCTCCGTTGCAAATCTGGCGAAGGCCGATGCACTCCCCGGACGAGCAGTAGTGCGACCGAGGTGCGGGGCAGTCGGTGAAGTTGCGACAGAATTCGTCGGATCCGTCAGGACAGTCGACCTCGCCGTCACACACCTTCCGCCTCGACACACATGCTCCGCTGGAGCACTGGAACCTTCCCTCGCCACACACACCTGAGTAAATAACAATATATATTTGTGTGTGTGTGTGTGTGCATATATATATATATATACCTATGTATTTATTTATTCATTTCTATAGCATTTAGTTGTTTTCACTTATACTTATTTACACACGTACATGAGACATCCAAATAGATCATGATATCTCCAATACAACAAATTGATGCTCACGCTTCTCGCAGGCCTCCGGTGTCTCATCGTCCCCGTTGATGCAGTCAACAGTTCCGTCGCAAACAGAATCCGGGGAAACACACACCGCTGGGACTCCGCTGCACATCATCCTTCCGTTTTCACAACAGCCTGGTGACACGAAAGGATTACTTTTTTCATAATCAGTCTGACATCTTTTAAGATACGCAGAAAGATACTCACACACACAGATTATATATGTGCGTGCACGCATATATGTATATGTATGAATATATATATATATATACACATATATATATATACATACACACACATATATATACTTATGTATGTATATATTATATACATATTTATACATATATATATAAACATGCATATCTACACATATTCATATATACATGTATATCCTCAATTATTTGTCAATTTATATGTGTGTGAGTGCTTTAATATGTTCATTAAAGTTACCTCGATAAAGTCCAAAAACTTCTTTGACATCAGCCTTTGACTCTTCCTCTTGAGAAAATTTATTCAGCGGTTCCTTCCATCGTCCCGTTCTACTTGAACCACTGTCGCTATAATGATAATCGTAGTCAAAGAAATACTCAGTGCCAGACTCAAAAAAGTAATCATCGTAGTCTCCATAATAATAGTAATAATCTTCTACATAATAATCGTAATTAATGTCGCTGCTTGGGTCGTAGGAGTCTGGGACGTGACAAGGTCGCGCCCTGCAGACGCCGCCGACGCAGTCGCCCATCAGACCGCAGTCCTCGTCGAGCACGCAGCTCTCGCCGGGCCCTGGGGAGCGACAGGCCACACGCGTGAATTACAATTTGTATTTGAATACCTTATGTTTCATATTTTCCAATGGTGGTTTTGCATCAAGAACACTTGATTTATGTAGACTGTATTTAAATACCTGCGCATGTGCCTTGACCTTTTGTTTCGCCAGGACAAAGGCAGTTTCCTGAAATTACGAATGGAATGACATAAACAGTTTTAACATACAAAAAAACACACATACGCACATCTAGCTCACGTGCGAATGTATGGCAAAAATATTAGATGCTTTACTGTTCCTTACCAAACAGAGAAGAGATGCTCACAGATGTATCAAACTCTCCAGGAAAGTCGTTTATGCTAAGAAATGCAGAAGGTTTTAGGAGCAATCATCGTGTATAGAACAGTTAGAGTTTGCTCCTCGTTCAGGAGCAAGTCCTTTGCTTACCTCCTTTTCACAGAAGCAAGAAAAATGTCAGGTTAGCCCATGTACCACAAAGCCTATAATGGCGAACGCTCCCTGTCAGTGTACTTTTGGCAAATGTCGGAAAAGGTTTGAATGTGAGTGAATAATTTCATAATCCAAAGTCTCGATTGATAGATTACGTTTTCAGACTTATGCAACTGCAGTGAGTAATTGTTTATTTTCCATCAAGAAATCTTATTCTGCACTTCTTAATCACGACACATTTGTGCGCGTGTCATTAGCTACAGGATATTAAACCAGCAGGAAAGAAGGTGGCAGTTACCATCGTCGATTACGGCCTGCACTTCTGGCTGAAGATCGCCCAGTTGCTCGTAAGAGTCCACCCGCCATACACAAGGTTCTCCTGGACTGGCGCTGGATGCGAACTGGCTGAGCAGGCTGTCGCTGAGCGTCACGTTCCCAACCGCCACCGCGCACACCGACTCGAATACCTCGCCCAATGCGCCCGCTTCGGTAACTCTTGTGAAGAAGTCAGCATTATCGCCGATCACAACTGCAGTACAAAAGTATTTGCATTATACGCAACAATGAATGCTTATTCAAGCACTTATCAGGTACAGAAAAGGTAAAGGTTAATCTATACTTACGTAACTTTCTGTGAGGCTTTTTGAACAAATCAAAATCTTTTCTACTGAATTCGAACTGCAAAATATTTTCCAGCTGACAGAGATCGTCGACTTGTCCTATTCCGGTGGTTCTGAAGCTGGTATCAAGCAGGTGGACTTCCATTGACGGAGAGAAACTGAAAGTGCCACGGCAATCAGTCTTCGAGTTACACGTGAGATCTATATCTAAAGTGCAGCTAAGTTCGTGATTAGAATATAAACTGTCGTCTCACCTATACTTACTTGTCTTTCACAGATAGCCATATAAAGTTGACAACTCTTGCGTTTACTTCCTCAGAATCATAAGAGGGACCATATGGCCATTCCATCGGTAGAAATGACACTGAGCAACCACAGTCGTCTCCTGTATCTAAATATAGAGAAGTTCGTGTTTACAAGGTTAATGTAATGCAAAAGAGAACTATCTCAGCTGATGCTGATGTTATAAATGGTCTTGGAAATTATCATTTTTAGCACTGGCTTCCCTGCCATGAGCAACAAATTGATTATGCTTTAAAGACGTAACAGTGTCACAGATTAGCGTTGTTCACTTAGATCATCACTGACATCAGAGGAGATATTTACCTAGCACCCGTGGCGTGACACACCTACGGTCGCAAGTACTAACGCAGCAGTACTGTAGTGCGAGGCAGTCTTCGTCACTCCTGCAGACGGACCGACACTCGGCGTCCGCTCCGCTGAGCGACGTCCTGTCAGGGCAGCTGGTGTGAGGGAATGGGTATGCGCCTCTGCTGCTGTAACCCGGCGCCTCAAAGTTTTCGTTGCCCTCAGAAGTTTCCCACCAATCTACAAGTATACGTTTGTTAGTACATGCTAGTTGAGTTTCAAGAGTATCGTCAAAATGATTCCAAAAGCAATTGAATATTCATTTCCATACAGAATTATGTAAAAATTCATTCTATTGTCTCACAGCTAATCACAATTCATAACTCTCGCATACAGTCTCGATGAAAGCAAAAACAGAATTATGGCATAAATGATAATGAAAGAATGGGTGAGCAGAAGGAATGATGAGGTTGGGAGTAGAAGGGATGGGGCGAAGGGAAACGAGGGGATCTTCAGTCTGTCGTTCTGAAAACCGAGCTTGGCGAACAGTCTGCAGAAATCACTTGAAATTTACAAACTCACATAATTATGGAGCTAC